TTTTTCTTTTTGCTTATGTGGTGCTGAGGAATCGAACCCAGGGCCTCAGGCATGCAAGGCAAGCGCTCTACCACTGAGCCACCTTCCCAGCCTGAAGTTTGTAATTTTAATCCACTCCAATTTATCAATAATTTTCTTTTTGCTTTTTTTTGGTCGGCTGTGGGGATTGAACTCTGGGCCTGGTGCTGTCTCTCTCAGCTCTTCAGCTCAAGGCTAGTACTCTACAACTTGAGCCACAGCACCACTTCCGGCTTTTTCTGTTATGTGGAACTGAGGAATGAAATCCAGGGCCTCACGCATGCAAGGCAAGCACTCTACCACTGAGCCACCTTTCCAGCCCCAATAGTTTTCTTTGCGATGGATAGTTTTATGTCTTAGTTAAGAAGTATTTGCCTAACTGAAGGTCATAACTCTTTTCCTATTTTGTGTTCTATAAATTTAGTTGTTATTTCATTTTCACATTTAGGTCATTTAGAATTGATAATTATATCTGGCACAAGTTGAAGCCATATACTTTTTGCAGAGATTCATCAAGATGACATAGATAAAAAGCAAACAAAGTCAAAAAGTCAAAAAGTCTGGAGGAATCATATTACTATTTATTTAAAAAACCAAGCTACTTTATTTTTAGAACAGTTTAAGCTCTGTAAAATAATGGATCAGAAAGTATAGAATTCTCAAATATCCCCTCTCCAGTTGTTTCCTCTATTCTTTACATCTTAAATGTTGAATATTTGTTACAAAGGAAAAACCAATATTTATTACTAACTAAAATGCACAATTTCCATTAGGGTTCATTCTTGGTGTTGTACAGTGGTAGGGATCTTGATAACTGTATTTTGATATAACATTAGCCCTTTCTTTACAGTATACAGTTATGGGACTAGTTTTCAACAGTTATTACTCTCAAAACTGAGAAGTAGCAGTAATAGGTATAATATTAAATATAGAATCCTTAACTGGGGAATTTTCTATAAAGTGGTTAAAATGTATGTGGCAAAGAAAGTAAAGTGTGTTGAGTTAGGATATAAAATAGGTGAATGATTTGAGGTCATGGATGGCTTTTCTCTTCTCCTCCTTCTTCTCTTCTCTGCTCTCCTCTACTCCCATCTCCTCTCTCCTTGTCTTTCCTCTCCCCTCTCTCCCTTCCCCCTCCTCCCTTAGAGGGGATACTTGAACTTACAATCCTCCTTCCCCTCAGTTCCTGAATGTATTGCAGGCATGTGCACTGTGCTTGGTCTATGGATTTATGTCTCTGACACTGATGAATCTGTCCTTTTCACCGAGGACAGGCAGATGACTGTGACATATATGACAAAATATTACTGGCACTGTTTTCACAGTCCGTGCCAAAAAGCAATCAGTAAATTAAGAGTTGCATGAAATTCATGGGAAACTATTTATCATGGCTAAAAGCATGGAGAGAACCCAGTAGGCACTAATCTGCCAAGCAAGTGAAAATAACCATTCCATATCGGCTACTAGCCCAAATGTTATTATTGTTCTTAGCAGAGATTGCCATGAAAGCTACTGGACAACAGCCTTTTCATCCAAATGCATAAAGGCCTTAGGACTATTTCAGATCATTAGCCAGTTTGGGCTTAGAGTTTATATTCTCAGTGTTTTAACTGATATAACAATTCACTGCTTCAGTAATTTGCCATGAATCCCATATTAGTTTTTTGTTTTGTTCTTGTGATTACCTGAATTTTATCATGTGTGTAACTGAATTCATAATTTCTGGAGTTAAAAGCCAGGTTCCAGTGGCTCACACCTATAATCCTAGCTACTTAGGAAGCTGAGATATAAGGATCACTGTTTGAAGTCAGCCCGAGCAGGAAAGTCTTTTATCTTCAATTAACCACCAAAATCTGGAGCTGTGACTTAAGTGGCAGAGTGTTAGCTTTGAACTCAAAAGCCAGGCCCTGAGTTCAAGCCCTAGGACTAGTACATGAACACACACACACACACACACACACACACACACACACACACACACACACACACACACACACACACACACACACACACACACACACACAGAGAAATTCTAAAGTTGAGTGTGGTGTATTGATACTTACAATTCAAGTATTTGTTATATTAAGGCTGAGGGATTGTAAGAAGCTAGTCTGGCTATATAACAAAAGTCTTTAGCAAAAAAAAAAAGTGGGGGGAATATGAATGGCAACTTTTAAAGATAATAAAAATATTCAAAAAAAGAAAAAAACAAAAACTACACATTCCTTCCCCAGTCTCTTTTTCTTTCTTCCTTTTTTCATTTGGTGTGTCTTAATTGTAACTAGCAAAAGGTTTCATTGTGACATTCCCATACAGGCATACACAATCCTGGGACCTGTTCATCCATTGTTGCTCTTATCCCCTCTCCTCCCTCCTTCCCCCCTCCCGTCAACCCCTAGTAGTCCCCTATTCTATCCACGTTACTTAGTCTTTGTTTTCTGATTCTTGTCTTTGTGAAACTGGCTTATTTCATTTAACATAATGGTCTCAATTATATGTTTTTCTTTTTCACTTTTTTCTCCCCTCCCCTCCCTTTTTTTTTGTCAGTCATGGGGCTTGAATTCTGGGCCTGGGAGCTATCTCTGAGCTTTTTGGGTTAAGGCTAGTGCTTTTAACACTTTGAACTACAGCTCCACTTCCTGTTTTGGGGTGGTTAATTGGAGATAAGAGTCTCATGGATTTCTTCCCAGGCTGGCTTTGAACTGTGATTACAGGTGTGAGACATCAGCACCAACTCCATCAGCTACTCTACAAATGACATAATCTGATTCTTCTCAATGATTGAGTAAGGGGCTGGGAAGGTGGCTCAGTGGTAGAGCGCTTGCCTTGCATGCATGAGGCCCTGGGTTCGATTCCTCAGCACCACATAAGCAAAAAGAAAAAAACTGGAAGTGGCACTGTGGCTCAAGTGGTAGAGCGCTAGCCTTGAGCTGAAGAGCTGAGGGATAGCACCCAGGCCCAGAGTTCAGGCTCCATGACCGGACCCCCCAATAAAACAACAACAAAAAAAACAAAAATCAATGACTGAGTAAAACACCACTGTGTATATGTACTACATTTTCTTTCATCTATTCACACTACGATAGGCAGCTAGCCTAACATTCTGTATTCCATAATCTGACTATTATGAATAGTGCTGCGATAAAAATTGACATACCAATATTCCTTTAGGAAACTATACATAAAAAGAAATGTACTTCATATATATATATATATATATATATATATATATATATGTGGCTGGATCATATTAGAGTTCTCTTTTTCATTTTTGAGCACCCTCCATACTGAATTCCATAAGTCCTTGACTAGTTTATATATATATATATATATATATATATATATATATATATACATACATACATATATATATATCAGCAGATAGTACGAATTTTCATTTGTCCCATATCCATACCAGCATTTGTTGTCATCTGTTTTCTTGATGATACCAATTATGATGGGGTGAGGTGGAATGTCCATGTAAAACTATCTCCTAATAATATCTGAATAGAAGTTATATATTTGTGTTGTCACAGGAGCAGAACTTTTAATATAAACTAGGAGGAAATAAATATCCAAGCGGTCTAAGGGCCATCTCACATCATGATTGATTTCTTCATTCATTTGTAGCATCTAATTTGGAAGTCTAGAGATAATCTTACTGCAGGCCCAAATAGGGAGTCAACTGGATAGAAAGGTTGAAATACAACCTGATTCAACAACAGCAGTAGTTAGAGAAGATAATGACGCCATCATTACAGCATTTTCTGTGGATCATATATTTGACTAACACTACTCTTATTTTATTTTTCTTTTTGTCAGTTGTGGGGCTTGAACTCTGGGCCTGGGCACTATCCCTCAGCTGTTCAGCTCAAGGCGAGCGCTCTACCTCTTGAGCCACAGCACTACTTCCGGTTTTCTGGTGGTTCACTAGAGATAAGAGTCTCTTGAACTTTCCTGCCCAAGCTGGCTTTGAACCACTACCTCTGATCTCAGCCTCCTGAGTAGCTAGGATTACAGGTGTGACCCACCAGTGCCTGGCTCTTTTTTTTACTTTTAACCCTGGGACAAAAGGCTGAGATGAGTTATTATTTCCTTCAATTTTAAGACTAGAATTAGGTATGGAGAGGGTGTCTTGCTCTACTTAGCTTGATACTTTTCCATAAGTAGTACAACCTGAATTCATGCCTTAGTCTGATTTTTGGCTTTCAACTAAGAACTTAACAGTGTCCATCAATCAATCCATTGGTCCATTGGTCCATCCATTCACCCACCCCCTCACTATACACTGTGGAATACCATGTGCTAGGTCCTGTACTGAATATTAGGATTTAAGCATGAAAGAGTTTTGACCCTCAAGAAAATGATAATCCACTGGAAGAGTCATAAGCATTTTTTAGGAAAATCTATAATTAAAGTTAAGTGATGTTTTATTCCTCTTGAGAGGAGAGTTAAGAAAATAAAAAGCTAGGCAATAAAAAAGTACATTAAAGTTAGAATAAATTAAACATGCCAATACCAGAAGACTGACAGAGCAGGGCAAAGTTTGGGAAATAGATGAATCTTGAGAAAGGCAGAGTCTAGACTGAAGGCCAGTTAGTTTGTATTTTAAAGAAACCACACCATGAATGTTTGTTATATTCATTAGTAGTATTCATTGACTAGATCAGTAGTTTCTTATTGCACAACTATAATGATTGCAGGGTGTTGGATGTATGAAAAATAGAAAGAAAACTACATGAAAATCCTCTTCATTCCTCTAGATTTAACTGCCTTAGCTCTCCTTTTAAAAGATAATAAAAGGAACCTTCAAATAAAATCTACTTATCCAGCACTCAATTTTTAATCATTTGTTCTATTTCTAGAAAATTGCTAATACTAATGAAATATTAATGGCTGTTTTCACCATTATTTAGTTTGTTTAAAATAGGACATTGAGTTACTTTGAAAGAGAAACTCAGTAGTTGTGTGATTGACTTTAGATCTACAGGATGGCCAGAAGCAAGCCATGGTGAGTGACCGAACTGAAGCCTTCACCACTGCACGGAACTTGCTTGCCTCAGGAGCTGACGCAATTGAGAGGATTATGTCTTCCTACAAAGAGGTATTTGGCATTTCTTGTCAATCTGATTAAAGTCAGATCAAGTGAGCTAGAAATGGCTTAGTGATGGTGTTTGCCTAGCGTGCATGAAACCCTGGGTTCAATTCCTCAGTACCACATAAATAGAAGTGGTGCCGGAAGTGGCGCTGTGGCTCAAGTGGTAGACTGCCAGCCTTGAGCAAAAAGAAGCTCAGGAACAGTGCCCAGGCCCTGAGTTCAAGCCCCAGGACTGGAAAAAATAAATAAATAAATCAAGCAAAATGTAAATTAAGAAGTACACATAGTGTTTCAGGAATACCTTTTCTATATGCCAGCTTTTAGGAGTACGGTCAAGGTTTAAAGCAGCACCTCCCAAGTACATGTCTGCGTGGTACACTGTTTGATTCTTCCCTTTTTTGTCAGTAGAATTATTTGTTTTTAAATTGTAAAAAAAAAAAAAAATCCCTTAGCTATGGACTCTGGAATCAGTGTCTATATTTACATTATTGCTTCTGTATTTACCAATTAAGTGAGCTTGGTTAAGTTCCCTAAACCCTCTGTACTTTTCTTTTGTTTACTCACTTGTAAAAAAAAAAAAGGGATGATGATGGTACTGATTAAGGGCTGTTGCTAGTTAATGAATGTAGAGTACTGAGGACAATTCATTTTCTTACAGGGGATTGACCCCAGGGCCTTTGCACAGACTAGACAAGCCCTCTACCACTGAGCCAGATCTACAGCCCCTGATGCAATACATTTGAAGCATTCAACATGTCAGCTAATAATAGTACTTCTGTATCTTTCAAGCTTTAGCCATCCTTCATCGATGAAATCTTGCACTGTTTTTTTTTTTTGTTTTTTTTTTTTTTTGTTTTGTCGGTCATGGGGCCTGAACTCTGGGCTTGGGCACTGTCCCTAAGCTCTTCAGCTCAAGGCTAGCGCTCTACCACTTGAGCCACAGCGCCACTTCCAGCTTTTTCTGCTTATGTGGTGCTGAGGAATTGAACCTAGGGCTTCATGCATGCTTCAAGGCAAGCACTCTACCACTGAGTGACCTTCCCAGCCCCGAAAAAGATTTCCGGGGTTTATAAAGCCTTCTTTCACTCCTCTAACTTCCACTTGCCTCCCCTGCAGTTTGGATCTTCCTTGGCCATCTTTATCTGTGTTCAACTGACATTGCACCCCCTTCCATTGTTCTGACCTTACACCAGACCTTGAGTTCCTTTGCAACAAGGGTTGTCTAATCACCTTTGTATTCTTAATGCTCATTTTAATGCTTTGTACAATATGTAAGTGACTACTGAAGAATGCTAACAGATCTACATCCCTTAGGGTTAAGATTAAAATCACTTTATTCAACTCAGAGATTCCTATCAACAGTCTTTCTCTCTATTAATTACTCTTGAGGTTTGCACATCAATATAAAGTGCTAGAGCCGTATTATAGATTTAGCTTCTAAGCTAACCTTGAGTCTACTAGATAATGAAGTTTTAAACTTTGTTCTTTGTTTTCACAACTGAGTTACTGAAAGATATAATTTCTTAATTTTTTTGCTAGTCCAATTAATCACCAAAAAGCCAGAAGTGGAGCTGTGGCTCAAGTGATAGAGCAGTAGCTTTGAGCAGAAAAGCTTAGGGACACTGCATCCAGGCCCTGAGTTCAAGCTGGATTCCTTTTGTAGTCAGTTTCTGGGAACAAGTCCTTTGTCTTATATCCTGGAGTAATCTGTTCACAAGCACATTCTGCAGGTTTTTATAGTCACACCCTGCCCATACTACTCTCTGTCCATACCCTATCTATACATAACTATGCCACCTACTCATTGCTTCTTACCTTTTTTTATTGCATTTGGATTTTGGACATGTATTTTTTTCTTATTCAGATATTTGTATTTGCCCATGCTTCCTTTGAATAGCTTTGTTTTCCTGTAACTGCAAACTTTTTTCCAGATAATGTTTCAGAAATTATTCTTTAAATAGCCATTAACATAAGCAGACAGAAATGCAATGGCAGTGCTATTATTTTCATTCAGTAAACAGCTTTTTTTTTTTTTCCCTTGTTGATCATGGGGCTTAAACTTGCGGCCTGGACACTGTCCCTGCACTCTTTTGTTCAGTTAGTGTTCTACCACTTTGAGCCACAGAGCCACTTCTGGTTTTCTGGTGGGTAATTGGAGATAAGAGTCTCATGGACTTTGCTGTATGGGCTGACTTTGAACCTTGATCCCCATATCTCAGCCTCCTAAGTAGCTAGGATTACAGGTGTGAGCCACTGGCACCTGGCTAGATAATTTTTTGTTTTTTTTTTGGCAGTTGTGGGGCTTGAACTCTGGGCCTGGGTGCTATCCTTCAGCTCTTCAGCTCAAGGCGAGCACTCTACCACTTGAGCTACAGTGCCACTTCCGGTTTTCTAGTGGTTTATTGGAGATAGAAGTCTTACGGTCTCTTCTGCCCGGGCTGGCTTTGAACCGAGATCCTCAGATCTCAGCCTCCTGAGTAGCTAGGATTACAGGCGTGAGCCACGGGCGCCTGTTCTGGCTAGATAACTTTTAAACAATAACATCTACCTACTCAAATTACAGCCTAAGTTTTGCATATGAAAATTCTTATACAAATGTCACCATTAAGCCGGGCACTGGTGGCTCACACCTGTAATCCTAGCTACTCAGGAGGCTGAGATCTGAGGATCACGGTTCAAAGCCAGCCCGGGCAGGAGGGACTGTGAGACTCCTATCTCCAATAAACCACCAGAAAACTGGAAGTGGCGCTGTGGCTCAAGTGGTAGAGTGTTCGCCTTAAGCTGAAGAGCTGAGGGACAGTTCAAGCCCCACGACTGACCAAAAAACAAAAAAACAAATGTCGCTATTGTTGTATTATTCTGTTAGTGCTTAGAAAACATTTATTAGGACTGCCTTGCTTATTTATATCAGCAGGTTTTAGGAGGTGTGTGTGTGTGTGTGTGTGTGTGTGTGTGCCTTGCTTATTTATATCAGCAGGTTTTAGGATGTGTGTGTGTGTGTGTGTGTGTGTGTGTGTGCATGCTAGTCCTGGAACTTGAATTCAGGCAGGACCTGGGAGCTGTTCCTGCACTTTTGTGCTCAAGGCTAGTGCTCTACTGCTTTAGCCATAGTTCCACTTCTAACTTTTTGGTGTTTTTAATTGGAGATAAGAGTTTCTCACAGATCTTCCTGCTATGACTGGCTTTGAACCATGATCCTTGGATCTCAACCTACTGAGTAACTAGGATTAATGAGGCCTGAGCCACCAGCACCCAGCAGCTTTTCAGTTTTTAACTTTCCTTTTTTTTTTTTTTTGGTCCAGTCGTGGGCCCTGAACTCTGGGCCTGGGCGCTGTCCCTCAGATCTTCAGCTGAAGGCTAGTGCTCTACCACTTGAGCCACAGTGCCACTTCCGGCTTTTTTCTTTTTGCTTATGTGGTGCTGAGGAACCAAACCCAGGGCCTCAGGTTTGCAAGGCAAGTGCTCTACCACTGAGCTACCTTACCAGCCCTTTAACTTTCCTTTGAGGGGTACAAATGATAAAGGTAAGACAGGAGTCACTTTTCACAATACCTGATAACAAGGTGGTCTCTCAGTAGAAAAATGACAGGAAGTTAACAGAAATTGAACAGCTAGCATAATAGGGGCAAGGCATCTTCCTCTTGAACCTTCTGTACTAAAGCAAAGATATATTTCATTTTATCTACTACCACCTAGAAAAATTCATATATTTATGTTTTTTCTTGGCAATTTAAATCTCATTTGCTTGAAAAGAACCTGGGTTTTGGGTTTGGAAAAGGATTTAGACTTTTTTACTGAGCTGGCACAGATATTTCTCTAGCTGAACAGGAATTTTAACAAACAGTTTGGCTAAGAAACACTCATTTCATAATAAGAAGAAAAGTATTTTTCTACTATTTAAGATCAGAAGTGTGGCAAAAAGATCCTTAAGACTCATTTCTCATTTTGAAACTTGACTCGAATTAACATTTATTATGTGTTTAAAAGTTCAGTTGCAGGGGCTGAGAAGGTGGCTCAGTGGTAGAGTGCTTGCCTTGCATGCATAAGGCCCTGGGTTCGATTCCTTAGCACCATATAAGCAGAAAAAGCCGGAAGTGGCACTGTGGCTCAAGTGGTTGAGTGCTAGCCTTGTGCTGAAGAGCTGAGGGACAGCGCGCAGGCCCAGAGTTCAGGCCCATGACCGACAAAAAAAAAAAAAAATTCCAGTTCCAGTTGCATTAATGCTGAGTACCAGTTGCTCATGCCTGTAATCCTAGCTACAGAGGAAGCTGAAGTCTGAGGATCACAGTTCAAAGGCAGTCCTGCCAAGCACCTGTGAAACTCTTACCTTCAATTAACTACCAACAAGTCAAAAGTAGAGGTGGAGTACTACCATTGAGGAAAAAAGTTCAGGAACAGTGTCCAGGCCTTGAGTTCAAGTCCCAGGACTGGTATGGGCACACACGCACACACACACACACACACACACACACACACACACACACACACACACACACACACACTCTCTTACATTGATATCTAGCTTTATTGCTGCGTAAGTTTTTTTGTTCTTTTACTGTCATTAGTTATCAAATGTATTATCTATTTCTCACATATGATAAAATATCATCTTTAATATGACATCAAGCTAGTCTCTAGTGGCTCATATCTGTAATCCTGGCAACTCAAGAGGCTGAGATCTGAGGAGCATGGTTCAAAGTCAGCCCAGGCAGGCAAGTCCATGAGACTCCTATCTCCAATAAACTACACAGAAAAAGCCAGAAATGGCACTGTGGCTCAAAGTGTTAGAGCACCCACTACCCTTGAGCAAAAAGCAGCACAGACACAGTGCCCAGGCCCCAGAATTGGCAAAAATAAAAATGAAAAATTACATCAAGAAGCTCAAATAATTCCATACCTATTTTAAAGCCTATCATGGATATAGTAACTTGTCTCTCTTCATTACTTTTAGGTCACTGAATTAGCAGGTTATACTGCTCGAGTATATAATATGTTTTGGGTGTTTGATGAAGTAAAGAGAGGCATTTATAAAAGAGCTGCTGTCACTCAAGAGCCTGAAACTCAGAGCAAGAATGGAACTAACCTAGAAATACCCCTCAGTGACACACGGGAAATTAAAGGTATCAAACCCAACTGCTTTTTATCGTTTCCTTATATTTAAGTATTATTTTATCAACAGAGCTAAAGGGTTTTTGTTTTTTTAGAAGATAGCTTTTACTATTTATAAGGAACCAATATTTAAATAGCAAACATTATATAAGCTGCAATCCCTAAAATTAGTATTGTAATGTGAAGGGTAGTGACTAGATACCAAAAAATGTTATGCTACTTTTATTTAGGAAAATATTTCCATAATTTCATTTAGAAACATATTGCTGAATAAATTGTTTGCTCTTAAAATTCAATTACCATATAGAATTAGAGCAAATGTAAAATTGTTTTTTCATTATCTTCTGTTTCTAAATATGTTAGGTCATCATGTATTAAAATATCCAATTTCTTTATTCTGTTTTTGGAGATATTTTTTTCCTAAAAGGAAGACTGATAATAGAGAAAATTAGCTGTAAAACATATGGCTGGATTTTAAAAGATTACATTTAGCTGTGTTATCATAATGATGTTGACATTGGACTATTATAAAATAGTGCTTCTCAGAAAGATTTCATACATAGAGGTATCAAAAATACAAATATCCATTAAACTTTGTTTTACATCCATTTATATTTTCCTGAGTTATTAATATGAATTTTCTATATAATTACATCTACCCATTAGACTATCTTATACTTTGAGTCATTTCATTAGCAGTAAACTGTGATAGCTTTTGTAACGTAAGCTAATCCTTAATTATAGGAAAAGTTATTGATGTGGATCATGGAATTATTTGTGAAAATGTTCCCATAATTACGCCAGCGGGAGAAGTGGTGGCTTCCAGTCTAAACTTCAAAGTAAGATGATATTCACAAACTCTCTGATTTGTTGTTATCACACTAAAACAAAAGAACTCAGAATTCATGTACTTTACGTTACATGCTTGGAGCAGCAAGTGGAAGAAGGGGAAATCAAGAAAGGTATGCACAGTGGCTCAGGTATAGAAGCAGTTACTTCCTAGGAGCAGAGAGAAAAGAAGAATTTCTACTGCTGTATTATCAAGTCAAAAATCAAAAGTACAGTGCACTGAGGGCCTATGCCAGGTAACTTAGGGGAACAATAGGAAATTTCTTCATAAATTAATATGTGGAAATGAATTCTCATTTTTCCTTACGGAAAGTACAAAAATAATACGATTATTGTTCAGGAATCACATTTACTATTAGGAAAAAGAAGCATAAGAGTCATAGAATTAAATTTAGCCTCGCTTTCTTTGGAGAATAACCTTTATGTCTTGATTATGAAAACTAAGCTGAAAATACCACTTGAGCCACAACTACTCTCCTGGTTTTTTTGCTGGCTAAAAAATAAAAAGAGTCTCATAGACTTTTTTTTTAATTTTAATTTTAATTTTTTGTGAACATACTGTACAGAGGGGTTACAATTACATGGGCAAGATAATGAGAACATTTCTTATCAAGCATTGCAGCCTCCTCCTTTGTTTACCCTTCACATCCCTTCCCAGCCTCCCCCCCCAAGCCTCCCCCCCCCACCAAAGTTGTAAAGTTCGTTTTCGACATGACAACTTGTACTTCTCATTGTTGCAACAGTTCCACCTGTATCCTTATACGACTTGTCAGGCTGACTTTGAACTGCTATCCTCAGATCTTGCTTCCTGAGTAGATAGGATTACAGACATGAGCCACTAGTGCCCAATTATTATTGATATTTGTGGCATAACTTCTCTGGCTTGCTAAACAGTATGAGGTAAAAAGCATTTTTCACTCACTGAATTTTCATCTGCAAATGGTATTGTTAATTTTGAGGGTAGAAAAGAAATGACAACAATCTCTTCCTCTAGAAACCTATTTATTTTAAATCAATAAAGTAACACAACTTTCTATTATATTTTACATTAAAATATAATTCCTTAAGTTAGAAATCACTAATCCTAAAAGATGTGTGCCTCTTAAAATATCTTGTGAATGCGTGTCTCAGCCTGGTATATATCTTCTACAAGTCACTTGGGAAACATGGAAGCTTGTATACATTTAAACTTTCTTAATCTTGTCTAGTGAAAGAGAAAGCACATGTAAAATTAGTTCTTTCAAGGCTTGTTGCAGGATTTTCTTTGAGGCTAGCAATATGATGCCCTTCATCTTTGAGTTTTCACTATTGAAAAAATCCACATTACTGATGTTGGGTATTAATATCCATTCACTACAAAGCTACAGCTATAGATATCCTGCAGATTTTTGTCTCTCATGCTTTCATACTGTATTCATTGATTGTCTTATTGACTATAAAACATTTATTTTTAGGGAAAAGCAAATCAACTTTTAAATGATATTCCTTTTTTCTTATTGCTCACCATATCCTTTACTGAACACAAGAATACAACTTCTTCATCCTACCAAATGTAGTGGACATTCATGACTAAAATTAAAACATGATAAATAAGCCTGGCAACAATGGCTCATGTCTCTAATCCTAGCGATTTAGGAAGGTGAGACCTGAAGGGTAACAGTTCAAAGCCAAGCCCAAACAGAAAAGTTCATGAGTCTCTGTCTTCATTCACCAACAATATGCTGAACGAGAGGCATCGCTTAAGTGGTAAGAGTGCCACCCATAAGCAAGCAAGCCAAATGAAAGCAGGAAACCTTGGTTCAAAATCAAGTCACAGGGAACATTAATTAATTAATTAACTAATTAAAATAAAAGAAAGCATCTAAAATACTATTTTATCATTGGATACTGTAAGTATGGAATGTTTATGTATGTAGAGAATGAATATCATTTATATATGTATACATGTGTATATGTATGTGCACACAGTCTCTTGTAGGAATCAGTTTCAAGACACCTTGTGGTTATCAAAATTTGCTGACACACAAGTCCTTCATGTAAAATGGTACACAGGAAAACATGTCTATGACTATGGACTTTCTGTGATGGATGAAATACAAACTTGGGTAATTTAGTTAGCTCTTCAGATAACTTTGCTTTACAGAGTAATAGATGAGTTTCAGTTGTATTTGAATTCAATATAAGTTTAGTCAACTATTAATAGAAATTTAATATATTTTAATATAAATTTTATGATTGGTCTTATTTTCCCATGTGGTTGTAATTGCCTTACATGTGTAGAATATCTGATAACAAAATTTCAATTAAAACATTTGAAGCCAGGCAATGGTGGCTCATGCCTGTAATCCTAGCTACTTCGTAGGCTGAGATCTAAGGATTAGAGTTTAACACCATCTTGGGCAGAAAAATGTGTGAGACTTTTATCTTTCATTAACCAGCAAAAGCTAGAAGTGGAGCAGTGGCTCAAGTGGTAGAACACCAGCCTTCAGCAAAAAAGGCCAAGTCCCAGTATTGGCATAACAACAACAAAAAAAACATTGAAAAGCCAGTATTTATTTCAAGACATTCATCTTCTTTGCAATTCATTTTAAACGTTAGTTAAAGCCACACTGGAGATTCTCAACCCTAAACCATTTTTCTTTGATTTCTTGCCCATGGGAGGTCACCCACGTGATTGAATGTTCTCAAAAGTTAAAAAAAAAACACTTTTAAATGATGCCAAGTGAAGCAATTTTAAATTTTGTAGTTATTTTGTAATTTGATTTCTCACTTTAGGTACAAGAAGGAATGCATCTTTTGATCACTGGTCCCAATGGCTGTGGGAAAAGTTCTCTCTTCCGAATTTTAAGTGGGCTCTGGCCTGTGTATGAAGGGACCCTCTACAAACCACCTCCTCAGCACATGTTCTATATCCCACAAAGGTAGGCCATGTTCAACACTCTTGAATTATCTTCATTCCTCATACTCTTCAATGGACAATCGCATGGATATTTTCGCTGAGATAGTGATTAAGGAAATAAAAATTCAATGAATCCCCAAATCTTTTGTTACCGACTTGATTAAAATAGTTTCTGGCACAATAGTATTATTTTTCATTCTCACATCTGATGAGATATAACATATATCCAAAGACTACAGATGTTTGCCTGAAGGCATAGCAAACTATTCCGAAGAATAGACTGTCTTAGATGGGAGATTCTCACAGAAAACCCGAGTACTTGGATAGTTCACATACCTCCTCATTAGACTGGCAACATTCTTCCACTCTAGAAGTTGTCCATTTATGTTTAAGAGTTCCTGGAAAAAGTCTTGATTATGATTATGCTTCATGAGTAACAATTTTAAGTATCTTAATTAAAATATGCTTAAAAATGAAAATGTTAGCATAGGCAAAGGACATTACTCCTCAAGTGTTCAGTTCATAATGCTTTAGAAGTGACACTACACAATGTAACAGTCTGGCATATTTTCTTTTGATAAGATGAAATCAGGCTTGAACAAGAAACATTCCTTATGCCGCGCGCTGGTGGCTCACGCCTGTAATCCTAGCTACTTAGGAGGCTGAGATCTGAGGATCGCGGTTCAAAGCCAGCCCAGGCAGGAGAGACTGTGAGACTCCTATCTCCAATAAACCATCAGAAAACTGGAAGTGTCGCTGTAGCTCAAGTGATAGAGCGCTCGCCTTGAGCTGAAGAGGTGAGGGACAGCGTCCAGGCCCAGAGTTCAAGCCCCACGACCGACAAAAAAAAAAAAAAGAAACATTCCTTATGCATCTCTGGACCTGTAATTTTTCCATGTTTTATTACTAAGGGTTAAATAGCCTGGAATGATAAAACCAAATGAGATGGCAAGGCCCTGAGTTTAGTCCCAATACTGGGACACACACACACACACACACACACACACACACACACACACACACACACACACACACACACACACACACACACACACACTTCAAGTTTCAAGAATTATAGTAAGTAGAATGCTCTTAATTTTGTACTCATGTTGTAGGACGTAGAATCATGAGGAAATTGTTCTACTAAAAATATCTATTCTCGGGCTGGGAAGGTGGCTCAGTGGTAGAGTGCTTGCCTTGCATGCATGAGGCCCTGAGTTCGATTCCTCAGCACCACATAAGCAAAAAGAAAAAAAGCCGGCAGTGGCGCTGTGGCTCAAGTGATAGAACGCTAGCCTTGAGCTGAAGAGCTGAGGGACAGCGTCCAGGCCCAGAGTTCAGGCCTCATGACCGGACCACAAAAGAAAATAAAAATATCTATTCTCAATGTAAATCAAATTACATAATAAATTTAATATCTTAGTCCTTATAGATGGTTTATAGTTTGAAAGAAACAGTTCTTGAATAGACCTTCTGAACTGAATGACTTAAGACATTTTCAAGCAATGAATAAATTTGTAAAAGTGCACAAATTCATGTTTGCCCAAAGGGAGGCCTGTTATTTTGCAACAAACATAAGCCATTTAGTTGCCCAAGCAAAAAGGTCAAATGTAACCTAATTAAGAAGCAAAATAAGAGTAAGATGGCTGTTATTTTAAGGCTAAACTGTTTAAAATAATTACTGTTTATAGTCATTTTTACTTCTTAAAATCATGAAACTTTGCAATTTATGTTTACATTTTCAAATAAGATCTCCTTTAAAAAAACATCCTAAATTTATCTAAATGCGCGTGTAAACTGAGAGTGTCTAAATGTGGTTTCTTTCTTATACTTTATTTTTTTTTTTTGTCGGTCGTGGAGCTTGAACTCTGGGCCTGGGTGCTCTCCCTGTGCTCTTCAGCTCAAGTGTAGAGCTCTACCACTTGAGCCACAGCGCCACTTTTTCGGCTTTTTTCTGTGTATGTGGTGCTGAGGAATTGAACCCAGGGCCTCATGCATGCAAGGCAAGCGCTCTACCACTGAGCCACCTTCCCAGTCCCCTTTCCTATACTTTAAAAGCTGGTATTTTTTCAAGTAAAATTCAAGGTAATTTTATATGATTCTATTATTTAAAAGAAAGTTGGAATACAATTTATTTTGAAATATTTGTCAGGAAATAATCTTAAACTTTTGTTCTTAGGCTATTTTCATTAGTGAATTTTATAATTGAGTTTTACATTACTTTATAGCATTGGAACCTAGATAAATTTCTTCTTTGGCAAGGATAAAAAGAAAGCACAATACACAAGTGAAGCAAATGCAAACTTCACAAGTCAGAAAACAAATCTCACAGTTCACCCTTTATTTAAGTTTTACAAAATACTCCCTGGTAGGTAATGGATGGCACTGATAAAATGTAAAAGTACATGAGCAGCTGGATGCTGGTGGCCCACACTTGTAATCCTAGCTACTCAGGTGACTGAGATCTGAAGATTGAGGTTCAAAGCCGTCCCAAGCAGGAAAATCTGTGAGACTCCGACCTCCAGTTAACCACCAGAAAATCAGAAGTGGTACTTTGGCTCAAGTGGTAGAGTGCTAGCCTTGAGCTGAAGAGCTGAGGGACAACGCCCAGGCCCAGAGTTCAAGCCCCACAACTGACCAAAAAAAAGTACATGAGTAGTTACTTTCATGGAGAAAATAGAGTAGCTTTTATGAGAGTTGACTTCTAATAATTTCTTTTAGCTTGCAGTATACAAAAGGAAAACGTTCTTGTTAGACATATGAATCCACTAAACCTTGAACAATTCTTAGTACGTGATAGATATTCAATAAATATTTGCTGAGGGAAAAAAACATATTTAAGCTACTTACTTTTTAACCAGCTCTGTGCACACACACACACACACACACACACACACTCACTCACACACACATACACGTGTCTCCTCCCCCCGACCCCTCACTGATATTGGCGGTTTATATGCTGGGTCACCTCAATTTCTGAGAAATTGTGCAAGCATGTTAATGTTTTCCCTGTTGTAGTCTCCTGATACTTTAGCAATGTTAATAATGAGAACCAGAGAAAACAAAACTTGAGGTGTGCTATATGAATTTGGTTTTGAGACAGTCTTCCCTCACCCCATCTTAATTGATGGTGGGATATGATAATTACTGGAATATTCATACGTTGTAGGAAAAGAAAAACCCATCTCACCTAAAATGTAGATTAGCACTCTATATCACTGGGATGAAAGATGGTAAAATACTAATTTTGTTCAGATAGTATCTTTGAAAACTTTTTTTACAATTGTAATCTGCATTTCCTAAGCAAATAGATTAACCTCCTTACACAGTAGAATAGGGTTCATTGCTGTAGTAGCTGCTCTGACTGTCAATTAAAGACTTGCACTTGATGGCTGGGAAGGTGGCTCAGTGGTAGAGTGCTTGCCTTGCATGCATGAGGCCCTGGGTTCGATTCCTCAGCACCACATAAGCAGAAAAAGCCAGAAGTGGTGCTGTGGCTCAAGTGGTAGAGTGCTAGCCTTGAGCTGAAGAGCTGAGGGACAGCGCCCAGGCCCAGAGTTTAGGCCCCACGACCGGACCCCCCCCCCCCCCAAAAAAAAGAAATACATCTGGAGGGCTGGGAAGGTGGCTCAGTGGTAGAGTACTTGCCTTGCATGCCTGAGGCCCTGGGTTCGATTCCTCAGCACCACATAAGCAGAAAAAGCCAGAAGTGGCGCTGTGGCTCAAGTGGTAGAGCGCTAAAGAGCTGAAGAGCTAAAGAGCTGAGGAACAGCGCTCAGGCCCAGAGTTCAGGCCCCCACAAGTGACGATGATGACAACAACAACAAAAAGACTTGCACTTGAAAGCAGATACTGTTTTGTCAATTCTTGGTGTAGTTTCTCTGTCTTCCAAAGTCCTTAGATGGAACTTTGAGCCCCTGGCCTTGCTTCCACTGCCCCAAGAATTGGTGGCTCTTCCCTTGCTTACTTAGCCCCCAGTGCACATCGGTCATCAGCTACCAAAGCCTCCCAAGTCAGACTAATTTGCATTTATTTACTTCACCTGTTCACAAAACAGAAGGTGCTAACCATCACCAAAATGAGAACAGGAACTACCTGATGGGGGAGGAGAAGGAAAAACAGGAAGCAGTTGGTATTTACTGAGAGGAGGTAGCGAAAGTCCTGCTTTTCCCTATAGTACGGGGGAGCTCTTCCATTCATCACAGGGCATCCCCCATCATGTAATTCTTCTCAGTTCTCCTGTGCTCATTACTCTTCCTTGAAATACCTCAGGAGAGAATTTGTTTCGTTATTTTTTTTAATTACCTTTAAGTACTTGTACCAAGGGGTTTCCATTCAACATGTTAATTTATGAGTACAATGAATATTGGTCTATGCTATTCCTTCCGTCATGCTTCTCCATCTCTGAATTCCACCCACCAGCTCAAGTTACCTGGTTCCATTTTCACACATGGATGTTGAATATGATGACTGTGTTCTCCCACCCTTCTTCTCTTCATTTGTCTGCCTCCCTTCCCCTTGACCTTTTCTTCTGACACCTCAACTTCTAGCATCCTGGTATTTCGTTTGCTTATTTATTTATTTAGTCAGTTGTGGAGCTTGAACTCAGGGTCTGGATGCTGTCCCTGAGCTTTTCTGCTCAAGGTTAGCACTCTACAACTTTGAGTCACAGTTCTGCTTCTGATTTCCTGGTGGTTAATTGATGATAAGTGTCTCAGGGACTCTCCTACTGGGACTGGCTTCGAACCATGATCCTCAGATCTTGGCCTCCTGAATACTAGGATTACAGACATGAGCCACCAGTGCCTGGCTCATTTATTTTCTTTATATTGTAGGTTAATTGTTCAAATGAATTACATCACTGGAATTCTCCATTGCATATACCATACTTTAGTTAATACATTAATGTATGTATGCATAAGACCCTTATATGTTTACATCTCTATTTATAAATGACATCTAACTTCCCAAATGAGAGATAAAACATGTACACTTTGTTTCTCTGGGCCTGACTTACTT